TCATTACCATATATATATATATATATATATAGCAGGTATAGTGTGGTTAGCATAGTATTACTTTTATAAGTTCTCATACGTACAGCAAGGCTTAGAAAGTTATTCAAGTTCATGAAGTATAGGTATCACTTTGGTAAAAATTGAATTAAAAACTATCTGTACAACTTCAACACATCCTCTAGAAACGTGTTGAACCTCACAGAACAAAAACCAATAACAGCACTTTTCCACAACCTAGCCGAAACAGACTTAACAAGTTAAATAAATATTATTTAATCATACACGAAGTTTAGCCTACAAATGAAGTCGATCTTAGACAAACTCAGCTATCGTTATAAATAAAGCCATTTAGGATCAAACTATACTGTATTTCTTAGTAACGACATAAATCTGCAAGAAAACTGATGTAGAAGAAACAAAAGCTAAATTATAAGACCGTTTGTGACTGTAAAGCCTCGAGAGACTTACCCAAGAACTGCTACAGCTTGGCCTTCGTAAATTAAAAATATTTGAATTAAAACGTTTGTTAACTTTTACCTGTAGTGCATAATAATAATAATAATAGTGGAAATGAAAAAGATAGTGAAGCCAAACAAACTGTGATTTCGGAAAAAACTACGTTTAATTTAAGTGGGGTAGAAATAGGGCAACATAGTTTGCGCCCGTTATATATTTTAATAAATATTTTTTCTTTAGAGAGAAAGAGAAAAAACGATCGCATGGTGCCTTTACAGTTATATGAAACTATAATGTTTAATATATGTCGTTGGAATACTACAACATTTTGGACACAGATCATTCACACTGCTTAACGTTTAAAGAAAATACCAACTTGTCACACTAGACCACCGTTGGTCTTTTTATACGCTCCCTCTTCTAATCTTAAGTCCACTGAGCTTGTATGTTTTAATTATATCCATTTAGACTTACTATTATTTTAGAGTACTCTCCCTTTTGTTACTGAGAGTATATGAGCTTAATTGTTTCACTATCGAAATTTACAAAATTTTGTACATATGGTAATCAATAAAAACGCTTATATAAATACACCAATTTTCGTCAATTACCTGGTGACGGAACTAAATATTGTAGCAACGAAGTACTATAGTTTTTAGAGGAGATTGGTTTAAGATTAGTTAATTAATTAATTTCAGTCACAGTAATTAAGTTTTTTATATGCTGTTAAAAATACTTTCAGGAGAGAAATTTAATAAAATTGAGGTATATGTTTGTTTAAAAAAGGAAAACACACTGGGGTATTACTTTTCTCGTTGAGTGGTAAGCCTACGGCGGTCTGAGGTCAAATAGCCTATTAAGTATAGCTTTGCGCTTAACAACAAACGTAATTGTAAGCCAAGTCAAGTCTCTAAACGATTCATGTAATATGTAGAAATTAGGTTAAATTATAAATACGATAATCAATTGACGAGAAGTCAAAGATAAATCAATGATTGAGTAATTCAGTGCCAGGTAAATAGTTTGTGTGTATGTGACTAAATTATTTGAGAAAGTTAGGCATATGTTAGTCTTCAGAAGTTCTGTCAAACGTTATTTGAACCACGATATTTGAAGTTAGGCCTACAAATAAACGTGGTCTTTAACAAACATATGGAAGAAATGAATTAATTCGTTATCGTCATGCTGACTAAAGTTGACATTATTTATCAAAATAACCCAAAAGAATCCTCCAAATAATAGATAACGTTTCAACAAAAGAAACACTTGGTACAATTTATATCCAACTAACTACTGTAGATCAATATAAAAACATAAATTTTGGTCACATTGAACGAAATATGATTTCTATAAAAAATCCAGTCTTATAAAAACAGATAAAGAGAAAATTGTTATAAC